TACTCTCTCCCTCCAATCTGATATTCAATCTTTCATCACCTAATCTTTTTGTTATCCTCATAACCTTACTCTTTCCTGTATTCACCTTTAATTTCTTTCTTTTGCACACCCTACCAAATTCATCCACCAATCTCTGCAGCTTCTCTTCAGAATCTCCCAAGAGCACAGTGTCATCAGCAAAGAGCAGCTGTGACAACTCCCACCCTGTGTGTGATTCTTTATTTTTTAACTCCACGCCTCTTGCCAAGACCCTCGCATTTACTTCTCTTACAACCCCATCTATAAATATATTAAACAACCACGGTGACATCACACATCCTTGTCTAAGGCCTACTTTTACTGGGAAAAAATTTCCCTCTTTTCTACATACTCTAACTTGAGCCTCACTATCCTCGTAAAAACTCTTCACTGCTTTCAGTAACCTACCTCCTACACCATACACTTGCAACATCTGCACATTGCCCCCCTATCCACCCTGTCATACGCCTTTTCCAAATCCATAAATGCCACAAAGACCTCTTTAGCCTTATCTAAATACTGTTCACTTATATGTTTCACTGTAAACACCTGGTCCACACACCCCCTACCTTCCTAAAGCCTCCTTGTTCATCTGCTATCCTATTCTCCGTCTTACTCTTAATTCTTTCAATTATAACTCTACCATACACTTTACCAGGTACACTCAACAGACTTATCCCCTATAATTTTTGCACTCTCTTTTATCCCCTTTGCCTTTATACAAAGGAACTATGCATGCTCTCTGCCAATCCCTAGGTACCTTACCCTCTTCCATACATTTATTAAATAATTGCACCAACCACTCCAAAACTATATCCCCACCTGCTTTTAACATTTCTATCTTTATCCCATCAATCCCGGCTGCCTTACCCCCTTTCATTTTACCTACAGCCTCACGAACTTCCCCCACACTCACAACTGGCTCTTCCTCACTCCTACAAGATGTTATTCCTCCTTGCCCTATACACGAAATCACAGCTTCCCTATCTTCATCAACATTTAACAATTCCTCAAAATATTCCCTCCATCTTCCAATACCTCTAACTCTCCATTTAATAACTCTCCTCTCCTATTTTTAACTGACAAATCCATTTGTTCTCTAGGCTTCCTTAACTTGTTAATCTCACTCCAAAACTTTTTCTTATTTTCAACAAAATTTGTTGATAACAGCTCACCCACTCTCTCATTTGCTCTCTTTTTTACATTGCTTCACCACTCTCTTAACCTCTCTCTTTTTCTCCATATACTCTTCCCTCCTTGCATCACTTCTACTTTGTAAAAACTTCTCATATGCTAACTTTTTCTCCCTTACTACTCTCTTTACATCATCATTCCACCAATCGCTCCTCTTCCCTCCTGCACCCACTTTCCTGTAACCACAAACTTCTGCTGAACACTCTAACACTACATTTTTAAACCTACCCCATTCCTCTTCGACCCCATTGCCTATGCTCTCATTAGCCCATCTATCCTCCAATAGCTGTTTATATCTTACCCTAACTGCCTCCTCTTTTAGTTTATAAACCTTCACCTCTCTCTTCCCTGATGCTTCTATTCTCCTTGTATCCCATCTACCAGTTATATCATTCAATATTATTAAAATTCAGTTGCTTTCTCAGAATACATAAACACCACTGTTTCAAACTTTTATGTAATTTATTCCTATTAAAGTACATTTTCTATCAAAATATATTTTTCTACAATATCATCACTATAATCACTTCCACTTTATTCAGTAACACTACAACTCCTCTGTTTGGCATTTACTGTGGAAAAGTAAAATTAGATAAATGTGTGTGGGAGGAATGATTACACTCTCAATGAGTAGATATAACATTCTCCTGAGGAGAAATTACACTCGGGGTGGCAAAATTACACTCCCCTGAGGGAAGAAATTAGAAATCAGTGGGGAGATATCGCACTTCCCTGCAGGATAAATTATACTTTCCTCAGGGAAAGACTTTAGATTCCCCTTACTAGAAGAAATTGAACTCGCCTTGAGATATTACCCCTATATAGTGGAGAAATATTGCACTTTCTGTTGGCGGGTTAAAGCCTTTACTTCCTTGGGAGAGAACTTATGCTTCTCTGAGAGATAAATTATTGTCGTCCAGAAAAGTTGCGACAGTTTCTATGCAAAATAGTAATCTGGCCATGACTCTGCATGTCCTGAAGAATAATGACGGCAGAAATTAACGATTTTAGTCATTATTAATGAAATCGTTATGTAAATTATATTACTCTATATCAGTGGTGTGATAGTGGCGGAGGATATCTTTTTTTTTTTTTTTTAACTTCTGTTTTCCGCATTTCAAGTCTCCTTGTCACACACCTCTTGCCAGAAATGGGCGTCATACATATTGTCAAAATATGGATCAAGCTTATGGTTAGAAATGGTTGTTGAAGTATTCTCAGAAATACGGGAAGATCATTTGGTGAAAAACTGGGGCCCAAAGTTGGGTAAAAAGTAATGGCTTTTAAACGTTTGGCAGTAAATGGTATAGTAACGTTGTGGGAAGTAGTTAAAAAATTGTAAAAGAGAACATTAAACACAGTTTACAAATCAAGCCTTACTAACAATCTTCGTCAACTAGCAAACATACAAACACACCTCCTACAGATTAAGAACATAAGAAAGGAGGAACACTGCACAAGGCATGTTGGCCCATACTAAGGAGGCCCTTCACAATTAGTGTTCGCAATAAAACTAACAGAATTCTTGGCTTCATATCTAGAAGTATAAATAATAGAAGTCCTCAAGTCCTCATTTAGACTATGCTGCTCAGTTCTGGTCACCGTATTACAGAATGGATATAAATGCTCTGGAAAACGTACAAAGGAGGATGACAAAGATGATCCCACGTATCAGAAATCTTCCCTATGAGGATAGACTGAGGGCCCTGAATCTGCACTCTCTCGAAAGGCGTAGAATTAGGGGGGTATTTGATCGAGTTGTATAAATGGAAAACAGGAATAAATAAAGGGGATGCAAATAGCGTGCTGAAAATTTCCAGCCAAGACAGGACTCTCAGCAATGGTTTCAAGTTGGAAAATTTCATATTCAGGAAGGATATAGGAAAGCACTGGTTTGATAATAGAGTTATGGATGAGTGGAACAAACTCCCGAGCGAGTACAGTTATAGAGGCTAAAACGTTTTGTAGTTTTAAAAATAGGTTAGATAGATACATGAGTGGGTGTGGGTGGGTGTGAGTTGGACCTGATTAGCTTGTGCTGCTGGGTCTGGTGCAGTGCTCCATCCTTGAGTGGAGGTGACCAGACTGGGTGGGTCATTGGGCTAATCCGGGGGGGTCATTGGGCTAATCCGGGGGGGGAGGGGTCATAGGGGTAATCCGGGGGGGGGACATGGACCTGCTCCGCATGGGTCAGTAGGCCTGTTGCAGTGTTCCTTCTTTCTTATGTTCTTATGTTCTAATCCATCCCACTAACTGAATATTTACCCAACCCATTTTCAACGCTACCCAAGCAATAAGCTTTGCTAAGTCTATTTACTCATGTGCAAGTCCCATTCAAATCCATCCCTACTCACTCATGTATTTGTTCAACCTAAATTTGAAACTACCCAATGTTTTAGCTTCAATCACCCTACTAGGCAGACTGTTCCACTCATCAACTACCCTATTTCCAAACAAATACTTTCCTATATCCTTTCTAAATCTAAACTTATCCACCTTGAATCCATTATTGCGGGCTCTCTCTTGGAGAGATATCTTCAAGACCTTATTTATATCCCTTTTTGGTAATTCCCCTCTTCCACTTATACACTTCGATCAAGTCTCCCTCATTCTTCCTTTTACAAGTGAATGTTGTTTAAGAAACTTCAATATTTCTTCATACGGAAGATTTCTAATGCTATGTATTAATTTTATCATTCTTCGCTGAATGTTTTCTAACTAATTAATATCCATTCTGTAATATGAAGACCAGACGTGAGCTAAGTAATCTAGGCGATGCCTCACTAATGATGTATTAAGCTGTAATATAACCGCTGGGCTTCTATTGCTTACACTTCTTGATATCAATTCCAGTACACTATTTGCTTATTACATACGCTTAGGCACTGCTGTCTTGGTGTAAGGTTGCTGCTTACCATAACTCCTAAGCCCTTTTCGCATTCTGTACGGCTAAGTACTACATTATATAGCTGATAAATGTTAGGGTTATGAACATTCCCGAGCTTCAGAACTTTGCATTTATCTTCACTGAACTGCATCTGCCACTTTTCTGACCATGAATTGAATTTGTCTAAATCCTCCTGAAGTTCCGTGACATCTACGTCTGAATCAATTATCCTATCTATCTTCGTGTTATCAGCGAATTTGCTCATATCACTAGTAATTCCCTCGGCTAGGTCATTGATATATATTATGGGCCCAAATCTGATCCCTGTGGAACGCCACTAGTTACAGATACCCACTCAGATTTTATCCCATTTATGCACACTCTCTGCTTCCTGTTCGTGAGCCATGACTCGATCCACGACAGCTCTTTTTCCCCAATTCCAAGAGCTACCACTTTCTTTAACTGTCTCTGGTGCGGTACTCTATCAAATGCCATACAGAGATCATTCATTACATAAATAAAATTGAACACCAACAAAAATCTCATAATCAACAAAATTTCGTCCAATTTTCATCTAGTATAGCTACACATTGATAGTTCAGCAGATCAGTAGAGCAATATAGCTCTTGAAGTGTAAGGGAAATTCAAACCCAGAATTCCAAATTCAAGTAGCGTCAGTACACCAGCTAGGCTTCCACTGGAAGCTTTCACATTTACTATAAATTCACACCTGGTATTTCTCATTCGTCTTATGAGTAAGAGAGAAATATTAGGTAGGTCATATACTGTGGGGTTAGTATCGGGCTGACACCAGTCTTTGCACCGAATAACCTACATGGACTTATTTCCTAAAAAAAAAAAAAATATGAAATGTAATTATCCTCTTTTTGTTATTGTTCAGGTGTGGTCTACCGGGCATGGAGCACAGACGAGGACCTGGGTCTCACCTGCCCCCTGGGACCAGGAGACTCAGCCCGCTGCCCGTGTGCCACCGTCACATATCGCCTCTTCGCTGCCCCTGGGGATACTCACTTCGACCTAGACCCAGTGACGGGCATTCTTTCCAGGAACACCCAAGTGCCCCTCCGCGTCGGGGCCACCTATATGTACAAGGTTATGGTACAAGGTAGGCCACGTCTCTCTACATCCTTCCCTTAACTCCACATTTCAGTAGTGTGCTTGATTAGTTTATGTAGCGTTTCTTGAATAACATACGTGAATTTCGAAAGTTGGATGCTATTTCACGTTTTTCCAATTACCATTAGCAAAGCTATCAAAGTAGAAGACAATCAGTTTAACTTGATTATTTTATTATGTATTGATGGGAAAGTGCAAAACTTGTTGTAGTCATAGAGCGAGAGAATGGAAAGCAATCAAGTTCGTTCACTGAAAAGGAATCACAGAATCTACTCCTTGAATCAAGAGCTCTTTATCAAGGGACATCCCTGGGACGAGCTTGTTTTGTGTGCGTTTTGTATATTAGTTAATGCAGAGATATTTACGTGTTCTCTCCTGAATGCATCATTTACTCAGAACACCACTGTTTCTCCACTTCTCAGTTATCTCCCTAGTTCACCACTGCGTCATTACTATACCACTATATTCCTAGTACATCACTTCCTAAACGCTACACCATCTTCCCCGTCTCCCAACACCATTATGATACCGATTTACTCATTGCTACTACTACAGAACATACAAAAATACCTCCCAAGGTATGCTCCTAGCTCCTCTGTGCTCCAGAATTTTCCCAGGAGACTACTCTCTTTAATAGCACATTACTAACTCAAAAGAGCATCTACCCCTTCATCTTCAGTACACACAATCTCACCAGTACATACTCCTCTACCTTCCCAGTGCATCACTGTCTCTCCTTCGTACGCACACTGAAAGAACGTATCTTACTGCCGTAATGTGACCAACAGCAGAAAAAGTGGTATTTGTAAGTTGGTTTATGGTATTCGTTTTTATACTATTTTATAAGGATATCAAAAATTGGTATTCTGTTATTCTCTTTAGCTTTTAAAGCGAATTGAATGGGTGGTTCAACTCTTTTGAGGTTATTCTACAGATTGGAAAGTAGAGCTGTGCAGGGGCAAGTAATAATATTTTGTCCATATATCTAATTGAAGGCACAACTACAGGGGTTAGTTCAGCATTTCGAGCAGACGCCAGGTATTTAAAAAAAGAATCTGAAGTAAAGCACTTTTGTAGTATGCAATTGAAATTAATTCGTAATTCAGTTAATTCGATGTAATCCGTTAGAGAAGCGAGCTTAGATATAAACCTTGTTAAAGTGTGAATACCGTTACCAGTTGTGTACGAATGGTATATAATACCGACAAGATGAGAGTAAGACACATGTGCAACATCTGGGTATCTTTATTGTAGACGTTTCGCCATCCAGTGGCTTTATCAATACAAATTCCAGGACATAACTTGAAGACAGTAGAACTATGTACAGAAGATGAGGTAATCAGTCCCTCAACCTAGGAGTAGGTGCGAACAGCACCATAGTCGTGGAGAATCTCCACGACTATGGTGCTGTTCGCACCTACTCCTAGGTTGAGGGGGCTGATTACCTCATCTTCTGTACATAGTTCTACTGTCTTCAAGTTATGTCCTGGAATTTGTATTGATAAAGCCACTGGATGGCGAAAACGTCTACAATTAAAGATACCAGATGTTGCACATGTGTCTTACTCTCATCTTGTCGGTATTATATACCATTCGTACACAACTTGTCAGACACTGCAACATCATGGAATCTTAATTCTGAGGACATGTACATAACCTTCACGACTACGACATCTACTACTACAACCAAACCCCTCTCTTTGGGACGGACCTACTTCCACTGGGGAATCCGCCAACCAGTGAATTTGCCCTCGTCTGCTTCACCTGACGTTACTATATAAGCGCCAGGATTCTTTCTTCTGCTTCAGAATCTCCACGACTATTATGCTGTTCGCACCTACTCCTAGGTTGAGGGACTGATTACCTCATCTTCTGTACATAGTTCTACTGTCTTCAAGTTATGTCCTGGAATTTGTATTGATAAAGCCACTGGATGGCGAAACGTCTACAATAAAGATACCCAGATGTTGCACATGTGTCTTACTCTCACCGTTACCAGTAATTTTTGGTGAGTAGGCTAGCGTCTTGTTATGAACTGGTAATACCAGTTGATTTATACTGAAGGACATAAAAATCTTTCTGCGCTATGGTTTTTTGCATACACGTTTGCATATATACATACATACATACATGCAAACAAACATACACAAATAAATTTACACACACACACACACACACACACACACACACACACACACACACACACACACACACACACACCCCACACACACATACACATACACATACACATACACATACACATACACATACAACTAGGTAGATAGGAATCTTAGAATTAGGAATTCTAGGAAGGATTAACATAGAAGGAACTAGCATGTCGTCAGTGGTCAGTCGTCAGTCGTCAGTGGTCAGTCGTCAGTCGTCAGTGGTCAGTCGTCAGAGTCGTCAGTGGTCAGTCGTCACGTGAGGTCACAGACCCTGAGCTGCTTTGGGGATTAGCGTGGACGGTTACAAAGCATGGCTTGCTTCTGCAGTGTTTTAAAAACTGAGGTTGGAGAGTTGAAGGAGGAGGTCTTGCTTCTCCAGGAGGAGATTAGGAGGCTGAAGGTCCACCTCAATGGGTCTGGGAGAGAGTGTGAGGTGGCTGGAGTTGTGGGGAATGAGACTTCTAGCAGTGAGGTGCAGTCTGTCTCTCGCTGTGAGGAGGCTGTAGTTGGGGAGGTAGCAACGGCTACCAGCAGTGAGGTGCAGCCCAGCACCTGCTACAAGTGGCGATTTGTTCACAGTAAGGGGAGGCGCATCAGAAAAGGAAAGTTAAGAGGAAGTCTGAAGGTGGGAAAATCGCTTCTCTTTTCCCCAGGATGAATGTACTTCAGGGGCCCGGGGGAAAGGAAGGGTACACTGCTCCTGCAAGAAGGTAAGCGCATTTTTTGTGGTGGTGACCTCAGGTAAGTATATTGACCGGCTTTTTGTAATAGGAATAAGAAATGAGAGATAAGTGTGTTCCCCTGGAGCTGGTGTGGGGACATTGTAAACAGGCTGGTAATTCTGTGGGTAAGGGGAACAAGCCTTTCGTTCAGTGCGGTGGAATATATTGGGAAGGGTAGGAGAGAAGAGCTGCTGTAAGTCGGGTCAGCTTGATTTCTTAAGTCAAGGGAGGGATCCCAATCATATTAATCTTGCCTAGGGGGGGAGTAGGAAATGAATGGTTGCTGGGGCAATTGGTGTAATTGCTGGCTAGACAGATACTGCAAGGAACGCAATCCCATTATTGACAACTGGAACAATTTTTATGGCAAACATGATTTAGCAAGGGATGGGTACATCTCTCGGGGGCAGGGGTGGCAGCACTTCAGACTCGATTGGAAGGCCATTGGTGAAATGCCTATGTTTTTAAACTGAGGGAAGATAGGGGTATGGGTGGTGGGGGAACAGCGGGTTTGCACACTGGGGTTTGGAAAACGTAAATGTATAAAAGATTCGCATGAAGTTAAATAAAGAAAATAGACAGGTCAGAAAACAAAGGGGGACAGCAGAGGGCAAAGGGGGACAGCCCCCTTTAAGGGTTTACTATACTAATAGCAGGAGGTAGAAATAAGTAGATGAGCTAAAAATTAATTGCAAGTCGGGGAAACATAGATATTATTGCTTAACAAGACCTGGCTCAATCTGAAAGATAAAAGAGCCCTCTGAATTCACTACAAGGCTATAAATTTTTCCCACTACAGGGGCAAAAGAAAGGGGGGTGGAGTAGCGATGTATGTCAGAGACAATTTAAATTTTGTTGTTAGCAAATATTAAATTAGAAGCGGCAGCCTGAATTGTTTTGGTTACAGCTTCTCGGGGCCCAGAAAAACTAATTTGGGTGTATTTACAGGGCCCCAAATCTTGATAGGGAGTGCATAAATTCTTTTGGGGCAAATTGAAGGGATCTACATACAAAAGTTTGTGCAAGGGAGATTTCAACTATAGACAGATTGACTGGAGCAATTTGACAGGAAATTTAGAGTCGGGTGACTTTCTTGATACGATCAGGATTGTTTTTAAAACAGTTTTGTGACAGAGCCAACTAGGGGAATAACCTCCTTGACTTGGTTCTTGCCAGTAGGGAAACACTAATTAATAATCTTGAGGTTAATGATGAGTTGGGGAGAGTGATCACAAATCACTCATTTTTAATATATCATGGAATTCCCCTAATAATGGCAATCAAGTCTCCGTCCCTGACTTTCGCTTGGCTGATTTCATAGGACTGAAAAATTACTTAGGTGGGCTGAACTGGAATGACCTGACTAAGGGTCAGGTAGGTGGTGATGGTTGCCGATATGATGCTTTCCAGGGCTTAGTTCTAGCTGCTCAGACAAATTATGTTCCAATAGGGAAATCAGATCAAACAAAAATGATCCTAAATGGATGAACAATAGATTAAAATATCTGATTGGTCAAAAGAGAGGCATATATAGGCAAATCAAAAGAGGAGAGGGGCAATTAAGAAATCGATATATTCAGTTAAAGAGAGAAATAAAAAAGGGAATTAGAAAAGCAAAAAGAGATTATGAGGTTAAAGTTGCAAGAGAATCAAAGACTAACCCAAAAGGATTCTTTCAGGTATACAGAAGTAAGATCAGGGACAAGATAGGCCCACTCAAAAGTTCCTCGGGTCAGCTCACTGACAGTGATAAGGAAATGTGTAGAATTTTTAACACATACTTCCTCTCAGTTTATACACAGGAGGATACCAGCGATATTCCAGTAATGATAAATTATGTAGAACAGGACGATAATAAACTGTGCACTATTAGGGTCACAAGTGACATGGTCCTTAGGCAAATAGATAAATTAAAACCTAACAAATCCCCAGGCCCTGATGAACTGTATGCAAGGGTTCTAAAGGAATGTAAAGAGGAGTTTTAGCACACCTTTGGCTAATCTTTTCAACATATCACTACAAACTGGCATGGTGCCAGATAAGTGGAAAATGGCAAATGTGATACCTATTTTCAAAACAGGTGACAGGTCCTTAGCTTC